GGAGAGAGAGAGAAGAGGGGGCCAGTCAGGAGGGGGTCATTCCTTTTGTCCCAAATTTGCCTGGGAAAGTGGAATTACACTTTAATAAAATGGACACATGTACAGAGCTAAAAAGTGAATTTGGCACGTAACCCTCGTTAGTTTATTTTTCTACACCAGTCTATAAAAAAGTACGGTGTCCTTACATTGAATCATATCAAATTATAAAGATACGCAGGAAATAATATAAAATATAATATTAGGAAGTATACAAAGCTTTACTGCTATGCTAGTGGCTCCCTAAACATGTCAGATGTCTGTCACCTATGTATATGTTAGGAAGAGTAATGGATACTTATGTTTCTTACACCTTGCAGACAGTATAGTGTGGGCTTTGAGGTTGTCACTGTGTCCACACCTGGAGATCCAGGACCATCGGGATTCCAGAAGAAAAGCAGCGGAGATTACAGGTATTGTCACTAAAGAACATACGATCACATTTCACAAAGACTGGTACATGTAGAAATCAAAATCCAGTGGGCACTTTTGGAATTTGCTTTCATTGGCAACAGTGGAAGTGGTTCAATACACTGAGGCTCCATTCACATTGGGGGTTTAGTCTTGAACGGGCACGCCTGGGATTCCTGCTGCAAGAATACATTGGTTCTTGCTGAAGAAATCCCCAGCAGGACATCATAGCCCTGTGTGAATGTCCCTTAGGGCCCACTTAGATCTATGCATGTGCATAGGTGCGTTTTGGAGCATCGGGCAGGTGCATTGTCAGCCTCAATGTGTTCCCTTTCTGTGTGATGTGTTTTGATGCACGTTTCTGTTCCTTTTGTTTAAATGAGTATTTGCAGTGAGTATACTGTAACTAAGCCATTGATCAAAACTTTTTGGAACCTGTTGCCAACGCCTCAGTATGCATGTTACATCTTCTATGGGCCTCCCAATGCACTAAAATACAGAAAACACACATATTGTATGTTTTTTAAATCTGCAGCACCGAGATGGGAGCAGACACGATCTTCATTATGGGGAGCCACAGCACATGCATTGCAGCACATTGGAATGCGTCTGTAAAACACAGTGTAAATGAGCCCTTAGCATTTGTGTACATGGACATAGCCAACTTGCATTTGAGATGCTGTGGAATACACATTGAATTGTTTTCTCTGTGGTAGTAGCCTGACTGCAGATGGTTGTGCATAGAAAAGAGGAGCAAAATGCAACTGCTGTGTACAACGTTTGCTGTGCTTGGGACACAACGGTTAAAAAAAAGAGTTCTAGCAAAACAGCACAAAATACAATACATGACACAGCACAATGTTCTTTTATAAAGCAGCAGATGTGCATCAGCTTAAGAGAGTCTGTATCAGATCCCACCATCTATGGGCATCCTAGATGTATAGGTTCCTCATTATTGATTTCAAGAAGGATTTAATAAAATTAACCATTGCAGTGGGGCAACCCCCCGAACTGCAAGGGTTAAGTGCTGACCATCTGGTGTATATAAAACAATGGATTTAAAAGAATTAAATCCATTTTTTTAATGCCTGAATATGACCTGATATCAGCCTTTTGTAGTACCTGTGCAGCTGCACTTGGATGGAAAGAGGGAAGGTCAGCACTAAGAGACATTCATGCTCAGCTGTAGTGCACATGTGCAGACAGTAGAAGAGCGCAGAGTGATGACTGGTCTGGTGCTGATGCAGCAGTTAAGGTTGCGCACCTGGTTATTCTGTCTAGTGAAACTGGCTGAACACGACTGTTTATACCGGATCTTATTGGTGGATTGAGCTGCTGTTCTGGGATAAAGGGGAACTAATGCTTTATAATAAGTTCCCAAAACCATCATTAGTGACTAGGGGAGAAGCTGGAGCCACATTCTGTTTTATAGAAAAAAGTATATGAATGGAGCGGTCAATAGCTCTGTAGCTACTGATTGCTTAGAATCTAAGCAATCATTATATATCTATATCCACTTAGATGGTAACATCTATTTGTGGATTATTTGTATCATGTGCTCGGTTAGAATTGTCCAGCTTTGTTTTATTGGTTATTTTACAGATTTCCAATGTAATCATTATTTCTATAACAATGTTTTCCATCATTCTGTGTAGCAGTTCTGATGAAATGTTCTTGCTTGTCCCTGCAGATGTGGATTCTGCTACCTAGAAATAGAATGTGTACCAGCAGGAGTATATAACATCATCCCCACCACATTTTTGCCTGCCCAGGAGGGCCCATTCTTTTTGGACTTCAATAGTACTACACCAATCAAGGTTTCCCAGCTACAGTGATCGAGAAATGTCAGCGAGCTCTTCTCAGGACATACCTCCGCAATACAATTCCGACTGGTAGCGGGAGAACCCAGCCATGCATGGAGTTTCAGTGGCGCATGCAGAGGGAATCATTAAGCCTTCAATACTGTTCTAGATATCATACTTCATACTGCGTATACAACCCTGCCTGAAGAACTTTCTTTTATAGAGGGGGAAGGGTAACTGCTGGCAGCCTGCAGTTTAATGTGTACTTGAATATTTTATTCAAATAATAGAGCTATAAATAAATATTTTTCCAACACAGTGTTGAGTTGAATTTAATATGTCGTGTGTGTGTGTGTGTATAAAGACACAGGTCCATCACGTTCAACCTTTATTGCACATTAAGGCTCGGTTCACACCTGGGCATATGGAATACACGCGGCCGTGTGTTTTTACCACGATTTGCAGTAAAAGAAACGCGCGACAAACGCGCGTTTCCGAGGGCTAGGCGGCTGTATTCTATTGGATACGCGCGACAAATACGCCCCAAAGAAGCTCCTGTACTTCGTAGGGCGTTTTACAGCACGTTCCTATGCGCTGTAAAATGCCCAGGTGGGAACCATGCCCTTAGGCAAATATTGGTGTTCACATGTTGAGCGTTTTACAGCGCGTAGGAACGCGCTGTAAAACGCCCAGTTGTGAACCAGGCCTAAGTGTGTGTGTATGGATAAAAATATCCAGCTGTATGCATTTAAAGGGTCAGTTCACCCAAAATTGAGTTGACGTTTGGGTAGATTCTGGAGAGTTAAGGTGCCCATACACCTTACAATTATCGTACGATTTTCGTATGCGATCGACTCTTCGGCCGATAATCGTATGTGTGCATTGCAGTGTCCGACCAACATTACTGTACAATCGTACGACTTTTGACGGTCAAGCATGTTTGAAAATGTTGCTATATTGTACGATTGTCGTAAGGTTGCTGACGTTTCCGTCCGTCAAAAGTCGTACGACAAATCAATTACCGCATTTCGTCCTGGTGCTTTTAGTTAATTACGGCTAAATTAGTCTTGCGATCATCGGGGCAGGATGGGGCTGCCGTACGAAAATCGTACGACTATTCGATCGGACGAAAAGTTTAGTCCGATAATCGTAAGGTGCATGGGCACCTTTAAACTACTTGTTTCTGTCATATGCTTTATAGATAGCATATACAATTAAATGTGAACAGCTGCAGGTGCTGGCAGCGGTCATTGTATTGTACAGCACCTCCTGCCTGCAGCTGATCACAGGAGTTTCATGGAGCAATTAGTGTGATCCGCACTAATCACAACCGTGCTCCCAAGCCTTCCCCTGCACATTCTATTTCTGATCGGACAAACCTACCTCTAAGGAGTTGCAGTTTTCTGCCATCACTCAGAGACTATTTGGGCTGTGATTGATGTGCTATGGGTGTGAAACAGAAAAAAACAGAGTCTGAGGCGCGACTACCCTTGGAGATTAGGAAAGGTGAAGGTATAGTGAGAGTTAAATGGGCTGAGGCCTGCAGGTAGATGCTGCCCGGGAAGCCGTAGTAAGAGGGCGACGTGGTGCCGGACGGAGATCCGAGGGGCGGAGGAGCTGCCGGGATGTCGCAACGGACGGCTGTGTAAGAAAGTGTTGTCCGTGGGGAGGGTGTGTCTCCGATGTCCAATGGGAGCGGAGGTAGAGTCCCAATGAGACAGGCGTGGGTGTTAAGGCAAGAGCCGTATGTCAGATGCTGCAGATGGGACGGGCAGTGGAGCGCGGTCTCCCGGGGTGGATGCCCTCAACGTACCCGTGTTGGTATAGAGTGTTCCGAACACTCAAAAAGGTTCAGGTGGTAAAGAGTTATAGGCTGGCAACGCGTTTCGAAGAGCATATCTTCTTTATCAGGCCCTGGCTTGATGAAGATATGCTCTTTGAAACGCGTTATCAAGCCAGGGCTTGATAAAGATATGCTCTCGAAACGCGTTGCCAGCCTCTAACTCTTTACCACCTGAACCTTTTTGAGTGTTCGGAACACTCTATACCAACACGGGTACGTTGAGGGCATCCACCCCGGGAGACCGCGCTCCACTGCCCGTCCCATCTGCAGCATCTGACATACGGCTCTTGCCTTAACACCCACGCCTGTCTCATTGGGACTTTACCTCCGCTCCCATTGGACATAGGATACACACCCTCCCCACGGACAACACTTTCTTACACAGCCGTCCGTTGCGACATCCCGGCAGCTCCTCCGCCCCTCGGATCTCCGTCCGGCACCACGTCGCCCTCTTACTACGGCCACTGGAACCGTCATTGAGAGGATCTCCCCACGGCCCTCCGAGTACTACACCGGCCGCCCATCAGCCCTCCTGCCGGGACCACATCACCCTGCAGCTCCAGTCATCAGCACCTCCAATCAAGACCCCGGAGCCAGCAACCAAAAATTCTGATAAGTCAGATCCTCTCTTCTAAAACAACCCCCCACCCCTCAGGAGAGCGCGGCCACACAGGACTTGTATCCTCAATTTTTTCGATTGATGTGCTATGCGGTTCCTGCTCTAGGATCCTTTAAAGCATTTGCTGTTCCAAGTCTTTCTTTATGGAGACTTGAAACATCCTGAAAAGAGGTTTGTTCCTCCCAAGCATTTATTAGCATTGTACTCATTGGGGATGGACTTTGTTAAGCAGGTCTACCCTCTGTGTGGGTCTGGCAGAACCCCATCTTAAACAGGCTACCACCCACCCCTCAGTTGGACTGATTTTGGATGTCCTGACAATGACTTCCTGTGTCCCTCAATGGATGAAAAAGAAAATAGGATTTTTGTAATTGAAGCACTATCCTTTTCTTGGAGTCCATTGAGGGACACAGGTTCCACCCCTCTGTGTATATAATCATTTTCTTGATGCTGCTTTTCTACAAACTGAAGCATGCTGGTAGAGAGGTAGGGGTCATCTTGGACTGGCCTACAATTTGTTTGGCAGTGCCCAATCATCCTGTAGGTTTAACAGCAATCAAATGTTAAACTAATGTTTTGCAATTGATAATAAATATATACATTTTTATATAACAACTTGAGTTTTGGTCTTTAAGTGACTTCTGTTTTGGTCACGGATTCATACATGGCCCAAGTGTTGTTTTGTTGAGATAAGGATTTCAGAATTTTCTCCAACCTGATCTGCATATTTCGTCAGGTTCAGTGACTAAGAAAAGTATTAAAACCAGTAGGTTAGTATAACAGCCATGCAACTGCCACCCCTTTAGTTCACTTTAAGTACAACTGTGTGAATGGCTTAGTGACAGCTTCACTTTAAGGCATAAAATACGCAATTTTAGTTGCATGAAACACTTTTTAATACACATTTTTGTAGCGAAACATACAAGTCGCAGATAGGACAGAACACAAAACAAGACAGCAGATTATCACATTCCAATAATACCAATTCTCCTAGGAAGTGATACAAAGCAAACATGTCAGTAACATAGAAAACAGGCTAGCCTATCCTAGGACTACAAACTAGCAGCACAAACTCCACTGTCTCTATAGAGCAGCATCATGGCCTGTATTCAGCCAACCTCTACTCTCTACATGACCAGGAAACCCATGCAACATGCATGGCCGATATCTTTCGCTTTCTGGAGTGTGTACCAAAGTATACAAAACAGAGGCAAGAGCCGGCATCAGCAATTGTCTTCTGCACTGTAGACATACAAAACATCTTTAGTTGTTGTTTCTACATATCGGCTGTGGAAATATGCCTCTTCTGCAAAGTTCAATTGTGTGATCAATGGCTGGGAAAGTCTAGGTATAAAATCTGGTAACATGGCACATGGCAGAATTCTTCCGCTATGATAAAAAATGACAACAGATGCGAACGAAAAGTTCTTATTTATAGAAAATGTCAATGAGAGTCATCAGACTGTCAGTCCAAAAATATAAAGTCTAATATATTCACATCTAATGTAAATAGTACAAATAAATATGTTATAATGAGCTAGATTACACAGTTCTTTTATGTCTCTTCTAATAAACCCAAAACGTCTAACACTGGAATCCACGTAACAGATGTGACGATATACTGAAGACCTGTAGGAGTGCAAATGCAAGATGAGGCCTGTTGGTACATCCAGTTACCTCGGTAGGTAGATGGGTCAGAGAGGTGGATTGTGGGACAGTAGGCATCAAAAGATGTCTTTGGGCTAATTTCACACACAGTGGTTAGATGCTGGTAGGGTGATACGTGTGTACATAGATAGATAGATAGATAGATAGATAGATCTATCAACTGTTCATTCGAATAGACAACAGCTTATGAGATGATATGTATTCAGAGTGCTGCAGCTGGATTCCTCCTTTGGATCTGGATTCGTGACTTAACATAAAACAAGATTTAAGGCAGATGACAAAGATGAACACTAAACTGGTTCCATTGATCTCCTACAATTCGCTTTCTTCCACAAGTAAGTGATGATACTGTCTATGACCCTAGACATGGGTTGCTTACCCGTTGAAGTTTGGAGATTTCTAAATGAAGGTTTATTTGATTAAAAAAAAGTCACTTACATATGACTACTGTACGTTTCACTTTTAAAAGTTACTTGGCCGTCACATTTGATGGGAGATTTATGTGCGTATAATACAAGGATACTAAACAACTGGCAGACCAAATACGTTTATGGTCCGATATGGCAAAGATACAAGGAACAAAAAGCCTTGTAACAATACTTATCTGGGGTTCAACCCCTTTGGCAAATTCTTGGTTTTATTGCTCTGTTTAAAGATAACCTGCCTTACATTCCTTATTGTGGCCTTTTTTTGGGGGGGGGGTGAATAAGGACGGCAAGCAGATAAGTGGAAGCCTGCTGGAAAGCCATCTGTACTTCCTCCATCACATTAGTTCATGGTATGCATCGGTCAGCCCAGGTTCTCTCCCAGCAGTACACACGGCATGTGCTGAGAAAAGCTTGTTGGTGAAGTCTGCTCTGTAATCCGTATGGCACATTGTTCACACTGCATTGACCAGCACTGCTGAAGCCAAGGACTGGGAGCGCGTACACTTTATGTCTGCATTGGCTTCATTGTCTGCACAATCCAAAGACAGATGCTTCATACTGTTGTCCAAGGCCGATAAAGCTCTGGGTTTACTGATGATATTGCTGCTGTTGTTGTTTAGTCTGTCCTGGGCTTTGCTTTCTGATCCTTCTGCTCTATTCCCTAACGAAGAAAAAAACAAAAAAAAAACATCACCACTCAACACACATCAAAATTATAACAGATACTATATGTACACAAAAGAAAAACCCTACAAAACAAAGCCTGTGCATTCCATTTGGGCCTAAATAACAAATTATATTTACATAAAATAAAACCAAGCCTGAGCATTCCATTTGTGCTTAAAAGTGCACATGTCCTGGGCTATGGACATTAAAAGTATTTACATATTCTTAATAGTAGCAAAAGAGCTTTAAAACAAGGCATCCCTGACTTCTCTAGCTGCACTGTGTACTGTGAACTAATTTGTTCTCAAAGATGACAAAGACTCTAAAGTTGGGTCTTAGGCTGGCCATACACTGCTCTCTTATTTTGGCTCAACCCGCTGGCTGAATGAAAAAAAATAGAGCAGATTCCTCCATCAACACTACGAGTGTGTCCATCGAGGAATCCTACCGTTTGCATCGCATTCTGATAGGGGCCGGCGGCTGCTGTCAGAATACCTGACCAGTGTCGGCAGCTCATTGGCTGCCGCCTCTGGTCGTACAAAGGTTTTCCAGCGGCTTCTTCGATCAGCTGATCGAGGGATGCCGGCCGAAAGGGTTCCGACAGCGGCACACACTGTGTGCATTTCGGGTGGTTCCTCAAGAACCGTCCACAATTCGCAAAGTGTGTAGGAACTTTAAAGAGGACTTTCACCACAATGACTATATCTACTTCAATACTTTAAGTCACTACAAAAATGCAGAAAGAGACTTCTGACTTTACTTCGACTTCCCTGATACACACACTTGTTTTGAGTTAGTAACTTAGATAGGCCTACCTCTTTGGGTTTTAGGTTGAAGCCAGATGGCCTGGCAACTGGGATTTTAGGAGGAGGTCAACAATGGCAGCCCCCATATTGTTTGTGAAAGGTATGCTTTAAAGTGTTTCTATGGTACATCCCAGTGTCCCCATTACTTTTAGCATCTTAACGTGACATTTTGTCAAGGTGGGCAATACCCTGGCTACTCCAACTTACTAGAACTGTGAATGAAACTTGAAGTTGTGCTTATTTTCCATTTGTATAAATACTTCTAAAGCATATCACTTATAGGACTGCGTACTGCTCTGACAGTTGAAATAAAATGCACAACTGCATGTTTTTAACAGAGCCCGGAGATTGTTTTTCAGGCTTTCACACTGAAATCTAATTTCCAGAATCTAGTTTGAATATTACTGTTAGGAGATGCAATATCACATGCCTATAGCAAATTGATTTAAATCCCATTTAAAACTAGTGTGCATAAACAATCTACAATTTAAAGTAAAAGATGGAAGAAGCATTTCTGTTAAAGAAAGAGCTAAGATATACCAAAGCTAAATGACAAAGCTCTTACCAGGCTTTTACCCAGAATGTTCTCTGGTACATCATTATATATTTATTTTATGCAAGTTCAGTCACCCTCTCACTTCTGAGTTCCCGGGACCAAGAGACTAGTACAGCAGCTCTTACATGCAGCAAGAAAAATCCTAAAGGCCCCTATGTAGTCCCAAACACACCAAAATTCACACCCCAACATTTAACCCATGCACTTTCAAAACCCAACCTAAGTAAATCAAGCACAATCATTGTAATTTCAAAAAAGTATGATGTATGTTTTGGTGACAGAGTAACAACTGGCACACTGAACCATAAAAATGAATTCCTAACCTAACTCTTAACCTGATCCCAACATCTAAAAACTATCTGAAGCCAAAACTTTGTAAGTTTTGGATAGAGTACAACGCACATATATTTTTTCTTTTTTGCTTTTAATGTCTGAGATATTAATTAATGTCTTGGAGACACAGCAGATGTGACAACAACCCGAATCTCTCCAAAGTGAGGGGGGAATCCCCCCATAGACCATTGTCCCCATTGCAATAGTCCTCATCTCCTGGTGACAGCTGTAAGGTTTTGGGCTTTCATGACAAACAGAATGGGTGATTTCAAACGCTGATCATTAAACAGATGTTTGAACATTTACACAATCTATTCATGTTAAAAAAAAAAGGTTTTTGCTTAAGAAACATAACCTAACCACTGAACAGAGTCCTCAACACTTAGGGCTTCAGCATGAATAAGTGTGAACAAGTTTTCTCAAAGCTTTTAGCTTTCTGCAGATCTGTTGAAACATTTAAAAACCCTTCAGTTTCATTTTGGGAGGTTAAATACAGATCTCAACGGGAGTTCTGACTGTCACTATAAAGCCTAATGCCCGCAGCATCACTCAACCCCGAAGACTGGCAGGATCCTTTAAGTGCAGGGCATTATGGGTTCACCCACTTTGGGAGCACCACCAGAATGCCCATCATGCACAGTCTAATGATGCAAACAGCTGTGTCAACGTCATCATATCAGTGACCTTCTCCAAGTCAAGCAGGACCCCCTGCCTCTGGGGGAAGACCAGAAGCAGAAGAGGACCAGCCTGAAGACTTTAGTAACTTTAAGAAAAAAAGCAAGTGGGGAAGAGGAGCCGTGCCCTGGGTTGGGCTTTAAACAAGCGGCTAGCAGCCTTTTGTAGGCATCAGCACTACTTGAAGCTTGTTAAAAACATGCTAGCTGTTTGCTAAAATCACAGTCAGTGCTCCCTTAAGAAACTATGTTTACCATACCCATAGTGCTACTAAAGTTTTTTTTTTTTATTGCAAAGCTGCTTGAAGCTTGATGAACACTTACCCAATATTAAACTTAACCCCCTAAGCCCTAACAGCTAAACTCCTAACCGCTAAATGAATCCCTAACACTAAAATAACTTCTGCAGTATAATACCTCCCCCGTACCCCGGGAACTGCAGCCCTGAAAGACAACAACTCTACCCTGAAAATAAATAGCAGTGATCCCTTAAGGCTGAAAATGAATTAACCTCTCTGTCACCTAACTAGGCATGGTCATCATGATGTGATAATGTGGACAATGCAGAAGGAGTGAGACAAAGTGGCTGAACCAAACTAGGGAGGTCTTAGCATTATAGATCTCAAAAGATAAAAGGAATAAAGAAACTTATCAGCATCTACAAAATACAAATAATACTCCAGAATGTCCGAAAGTTCTCTCATGATAGACCAAATGACCCATTTCTATGCTACCGAATCCATCGTACCTCTCTCCAGATCACACTCTGGTGAGGATGCTCCACTACATTCACTGCGGGGGCCAAGGACAGGCGATATCAACCCAAATTCAGACAGAGACATGGGGCTTGACAGATCTAAACTGCCAGGACGTGGCGCGCCTTGAAAGGGGCGCAGAATTTCAGAAGGGCTTGTTGGGTCAGAGCTGTAGCTTGATTGAGACCGTGTCTCAGAGTCCTCTTCAGAGACCACACTGTTGAGATTTTCATCTTCAAAAACCTCCGATGTCACTGCAAATACAAAAAAAACCCCACACATTTAACTTACATTGAAGATCAGCAACTCAAGAACAGGAACTTAACACAGTAGTATGTCAGATATATACTAGTCATCATGGTATTTGCATTAAGAGCAGTAGTTGATGGAGACAGAAGAGGACCTTGGTACAGAGCTCAAAGTTCACCTCCCCCGCCCCAACAAAGTCTGATTGTCCCAACAATGCAACATGGTATAGGTCACCTTTTTAGACCAAAGTTTCATCACTGTTCTGCAGCAAAACTGTAAACAGTTACAGATATTTTATTAAAATACCTCTAAATCCAAACAAGGAGCATGCTAGCAGTAACGTATCAAATTATCTGAACATATAGCAGAAGGTACATTCAGTTGGTTGCTTCGAATTGCGTTTTACCTATTTCATATTCCTTGTATTGTAGCCCTGATTAGGAGGACCATTTGTAACCGCCAAAACACATTGGCTGTTTATCATATGTCATCTTGTTTTAAGCAGAACTCCGGGCAAATCACATCTTAACCCTTGCAGTGGGGTTTCCCCCACACTGCAAGGGTTAAGTTCCTGTTCTGTCTAGGGAACACCACACCAGAGCACAAGCATTGTTGTACCACATGTTCTGGTGCGGGCGATTGCACTGCTGGCGGGAGGCGTGTCTGCGGTGTTCTTGGCATGAATAGCACCACTACACCCCCTCCCATCCCAGAACGCGAAAGGCTTTATGCGATCCAGTGAATTCCGGCCATTAACCGTGCCAAAACGCATTGGGTATGG